ACCTATTTAAAACCACAAACAGTGTATTAGTCTCAAGTGTGTGTATATTCATGGGCCCAGCCTCTCTCTCATTTGGCTGCCTGGCTTGACTGCTGCTGTGCACTCACCTAGGGGGTTTATCCCCAAACACTAACAATAGGTATAGCTATAAACACGAGTAAGACTACAGAAAATAGGTACGAATGGGGACAATAGGACAGGGACGGGAGGCACGATGGTGCACTTATGCACACCCCTTACAGACCTCTTAGGAATGGGGTGAGGTCAATAGTGGATAGTTTGAGGTTAACGGAGTGGGGGTTTGAGAATGTAACTACAGAGTCAGGAAGTGCATTCCAGGCATTGACCACTCTGTTGCTGAAGTCATACTTTCTGCAATCGAGTTTGGAGCGGTTAACATTGAGTTTGTATCTATTGTGTGCCCTTGTATTATTATTGCAGTTGAAGCTGAAGTAGTCATTGACTGGTAGGACATTTAAATAAATTTTAATAAATACATTTAAATTAAATAACTAAATAAAAAATAAATAAATGAATAAAATCACTGATGCAGGAGAAAAAGGACAAAAATCTGGAGTTGAAACAATACAGGTAGTCCTCAACTTACAATCATGATAAAGCCCAAAATTTATATTGTTAAGTGAGAAATTTGTTAAGTGAGTTTGCTCCATCTTGCAACTTTTCTTGCCATATTTCTTAAGTGAACTACTGCAGTTCTTAAATTAGTAACCAGCTGAATCTGGTTTCCCTATTGACTCTGCTTGTCAGAAGGTTGCAAAAGGGGATCACATGGGTCCGGGACGCTGCAACCGTTATAAATGTGAGTCATCAGTGGTCAAGCATCTGAATACAAATCACATGACCATGAGGATGCTGCCATGGTTGTAAGTATGAATAATTGTTATAAGTGAGCTGTTGTAAGTCAAGGACTACTAGTACCAGACCATTGTAAAAACTGATTGAATTAATATATTTTGTCCTTCCTATAAACATGAGGATGAATGTGAAGTTTCACTTTTTAATCACCTACACCTACACCTAAACAGGGGCACCTGCAGAATTGGGTTTCCCTCTCCCTCCCTGTGTGTGTGTGTAGTGAAATCATAAATGCCAAGATGGAGGTTGCAACTGTGATCAAAATTCCTCCCTTTTTTATTTTAATATAATACGTATTACACATGTGCCACATGTACTAAAAAGGGATGGGTTTTTGACCAATCTGTTATAACTTCCATTTTGACTTTTTAACACTGGCCCTGCGGGATATCCCCCCCCCCCCCAAGCATTTTCAGTGAGTTTTATTATTCAAAAACAGAAAAATCAACAGTACAACTGAAGCTCACCTGCCTTATTTAAGTAATGTTTAGCAATGGATGAACTTCCTTGGGGTGTTACAAAGTTATCTGCTCCTTCCTTCACCACCATTCCTTTTACTGGGACAGTCAATGGCTTCAGGACTCCATGAGACAACAAATCTTCATAAAAGCTACAGAGAGAGTTAATCTGTTAACTAATCTTTTTTTCTGCTCTTGTACAGATTTTAGGTTATACTGCTTTTAATTGGTTCACTGTTCGATGATTTTAAAACTTCTTTAGGATAGAAATTCAGAGTTATAGATCAGGGGTCTCCAAACTTGGCAACTTCAAGACTGGTGGACTTCAACTTCCATGCTGGCTGGGATATTCTGGGAGTTGAAGCTCACTGGTTTTAAAGTTGTCAAGTTTGGAGACCCCGTTCCAATTTTTTAAAATTATTGCCTTGCTTTCAAAATGTTGCCCTTAATTAAATTACATACACTAATTTGGACAACATCCTACAAAATGGGAGAAATAGAGTGCAAAACTGGCCCCAACTCAGGGGTGGGATTCTATCGGTTAAGACTGGTTCTATAGAACCGGTTGTTATGATTTGGAAAATTGGCAAATCGTGCCCCTGGCTGGGCCCACCCCTCTTGGTCTGCTCCTCCCCTCCCAGTCAGTCCCTATCGCACATGGGCCACTAAGCGAGCACCTGGTCATTAAGTGAGGACCACTTAAACTTGGGTTGCCAGCAGATGGCCCCCTGCCTGGGCCTTGCCTGGGCCTCCCCAGGCCTTGGAAATTGGCAAAAAGCACTTGCTAAGCAATTGGCCACTAAGTGAGCACCTGGTCATTAAGTGAGAACCATTTAAATTTGGGTTGCCAGCCACATGGCCACACCCACCCGTCACATGACCACATAGCCATGCCCAATCAGCAAGCCACTCCCCCCAGCCACATGGCCACCAAGCCACACCCACAAATGAGGCCACACCCACAGAGCCGATTGATAAGAAATTTGAATCCCAGCCCTGATCAGCACCCAGGGTTCATTATGAAAGGGGGATTTCATTTCTTCCCTTCTCACAGCACTACTAAGACCTGAAACTAAAAAGGCTGACATTTGGTTCCAAAAATGCACACAGCAGCATGTTTTCCAATACACTATCTAATTAGTACCTTGTTTTAGCTTTCATCTACAGAAATAATTTAATTTGCAAGCAACATTATTCCTTCCATTGGAGTTTTATGTCTGCAGACCCCAATGTAGTGACTTTTTCTAAAAGAAACGCTTCAGTGTGTTGGCTCAAGAGTCATAGAGGTTATGGTAAAGGTATAGTAGAAAAGAATTTGGCCTTTATCCCCTGTCCTCAGTATTGCTTCTAGAAGGAATAGTTTAGTGATTAGTTTAGAAAAATGGGTCTCAAAACTTTAAGACTTATGGACTTCCACCCCCAGGATTTCCTAAACAGCTTGACTGGCTAAGGAATTCTGGGAGTTGAAGTCCACATGTCTTAAAAGTTGCCAAGTTAGGAGACCCCTAATTTAGAATACTAAAGAAAATAAGTTCTGGAAGTTCTGGAAGAATTTCAATTGGTTTTGTTTTAAATTAATGGATTACGTTTAGAGCAATGTGTGAATCCATGCCACTGTGGCTTTATTTGGCAAACTATGGTCTAGCAATTCACCCTGGAGGCAATTCACCCTGGAGGTAATCAATATTCAATAAGATTGAGAAGCTGTAAGAGAAGCTCCAAACTCTTCAACACAGAACAGTCTCACCAATTCTTGTCTTAGTGAGTGGCTATGGACAACCAATTAAAGTTTATAAACCACCACTTTCAATTTTCCATAATGCCTGAACTACATTTAATTGGAAATCTAAAATAGGCCCTATAGGTGGTCCTCAACTTGCAAATATTCATTTAGTGACTATTCAAATTTACACTGAAAAATATGACTGGGAGCAGGGAGGACTTACACAAAGATTCCCATCTTCCAACTTGCCAAAGTATTAAGGACATGGCCCCACATATTGTGTGCTTAGCCACAGTGTAATTATGGTTTGTTGAATAAACTATTTCTGGATGGATTCACATAATGGATTAAATCCAAGCCAAATGTGCAATGTCTGAACCCACCATATTTAGTTTATTTTATTGTCATTGCACCTTGTACAATGAAATTAAATGCCACCTTCAGTGAAAATCTGATATTGCATTAATATTGCACTATACAATAGAAGTCAATATAGTTACTACCCTGGGATAGAAGCTGTTTTTCAGTCAATTTGTCCTTGTTTTTATTATCCTGTATTGTCTTTTGACCAGTGCTGCAATGTGAGCGCCCCAAGTCAGGTCCTCTTTTATGGTAACACCCAGAAACTTAAATCTGGCCACTTGCTCCCCTCGGTCGCCATCGATAAGCAAGGGTTGGAGGTCTGATCTGTTCCTTCTATAGTCTACTATAAGCTCCTTGGTCTTATTGGTGTTAAGTCTGCACTACTATTACTATCAATCTTATCATCACCCCTTATCGCCCATCCCCTCCCACTTGTGACTGTATGACTGTAACTTTGTCGCTTGTATCCTTACCATTTATATTGACTGTTTCCTAGTATGATTTGATTACTTATTGTTCCCCATGACAATCATTAAGTGTTGTACCTACTGATTCTTGGCTCTTGACGAATGTATCTTTTCTTTTATGTACACTGAGACCATTTGCACCAAGACCAATTCCTTGTGTGTCCAATCACACTTGGCCAATTAAAGAATTCTATTCTATTCTATTCTGTTCTGTTCTATTTCTATTCAGTGTTGTACCTTAATGATTCTTGACAAATGTATCTTTTCTTTTATGTACACTGAGAGCATTTGCACCAAGACAAATTACTTGTGTTTCCAACCACACATGGCCAATAAAGTTGTATTCTATTTCTATTCTATTCTGTTCTGTTCTATTTCTATTCAGTGTTGTACCTTAATGATTCTTGACAAATGTATCTTTTCTTTTATGTACACTGAGAGCATTTGCACCAAGACAAGTTCCTTGTGTGTCCAATCACACTTGGCCAATAAAAGAATTCTATTCTAAAAGAATTCTATTCTATTCTATTCTATTCTGTTCTGTTCTATTTCTATTCAGTGTTGTACCTCAATGATTCTTGACAAATGTATCTTTTCTTTTATGTACACTGAGAGCATTTGCACCAAGACCAATTCCTTGTGTGTCCAATCACACTTGGCCAATGAAAGAATTCTATTCTATTCTATTCTGTTCTGTTCTATTTCTATTCAGTGTTGTACCTTAATGATTCTTGACAAATGTATCTTTTCTTTTATGTACACTGAGAGCATTTGCACCAAGACCAATTCCTTGTGAGTCCAATCACACTTGGCCAATAAAAGAATTTTAATTCAAATGCTCTGTCCAGGTCAACTAGGGGCTTCCCTCCTTTTTGCCCAATACCATTTGCGCATCATTCCAAGCCCCTGATGCCAAGGACGAACTACCACCTGTTGCTACCTACAACAGCATCGACTCCCCACCCTTTCCTTTTACCTTCCAAGCCAAAGAGCTGCCGTTTTTTCCCCTTTCGCTCACCTCTGATGCGCCTTCGCATTGTCGGGCGTCCGCGTGATGTATTGGCCACCCAGATCGGCCGTGCATTTCGGATCGCGATCGCTCCGGCTCGTCGACATTCTTCCCCCTTGGAAAGTCACGTGCGTGGAAACAAGAAAACCGTTTAGCGCGCGCGCGCTGCCGCCAGTCGCCCAATCAGCTTCTCCGGAGGGGCAAGCCTGAGCCTTAGTAACAGGGGAAAACACCCCCCCCACCCCGAATCCCACCAATCCCCGCGCACCACCGGTTGCACGAGGGCGCTGCCGGGCAACCTCTGGGGCAATGACAGCGGCTGTAAATCTTTTAAGCCATGAATTTCTCTATACTGAGATTTGCATTTGGGGGGGGGGGGGTGCATATTTCGGGATAACACGGACCGAGTGACCGCCGTTCGCAATCTCAAGAGTTTTACCTTCTTGCTATTAAAAATCCCTTAGCAACAGATTAAACCAGGCGATCCCTATTGGAATCCCACCCGAATCTCGAGGGCTTTGCCTCGGGTGTTTTTTGGCCGGGAAAAAAGCTCGCTCTTTGCCGGCTGACGGGGAAAACGAGTTTCGTTTTTTTAAAAAAAGGGGTGAGGGAGGTTCTGAAATGGAGTGCTAGGCGTGCACTTTGAAAGGGTTTCTTATCCTTGGGTATAGGATCGCGTTTCCTCTGAGAGCAATCCTGAAAAGGAGCCCGACAACCCATTCGGTGCCAGATGAATTGCCGGCAAGACCGGAGGAGGGGGTTGGGGGGAGGAAGCCTGGCGGTTTTAATTTCCCCGCAGTCGCGGGTTTTACCGCTAACCTTCCCGGATCCCAGCGATTGGCCGCCTTGCCTTTTTACACAGTAAGATTCTGCGCCCAAACTCACCTGCGCCCTGCGCCTTATCCCAAACCACGACGCGCAAAAGACGCTGAGGAAACTCGGCGCGCAAAAGCGCAGCGCACAGGCTACCTGTCAGCCCGGCTCCTACGATCAGAATCCGCGCCATGACTCGGCCGTCAGACAGAGGAGGCGGTCCGGTCCGGCCTACCGACCAAGATCCTCCTCCTTCCTCCTCCTTTTCCCGGAGTTTATGCAATCCAGAAGCCGAGCGCAAGCGATCTGCCCTTTTTGTTGTTGTTGCTGCTGAGGCGTTACGGCGGAAGGAGGGATTCCCAGGCCCCTTTCCCCTCTTGAAGACGCCGACCTTGTTCGCAGCGCCAAGAAGAAAGCAGCTTTGCGCCGCGGTTGCCTCAGCAAACACGAGGTGGAAGACTGGGTTAGCCGTTAGAGGTCTAGATTTAGCCCAATCCCGCAGGAAAGGGCGAAATGGACTCCAAAAAAAAAAAAAAAAAAAAAACCCAGGGCCGGAGGGGTCAACTTGACCTTGAAAGGGGACACACACACACCCGCTTTGTAAATCTTCCCAGCTAGGCAACTTTGGGCGGCCGCGATCTGGTAAATGTTTTAATTCTGGAAACTGGAAATCTAACGGGAGGGTTGAAATGATCCGTATTTCCACAGGAGCTGTGCATGGGGCTGGACTAGAAGACCTCCAAAGTCCCTTCCAGCTCATCCTATCCTATCCTATGCCTATTTTCCTATTCCTATTTTCCTGTTCCTATTCTATTCCTATTCTTCTATTTTTCTATTTCTATTCCTATTTTTGTACTTCCATTCCAGTCTATTCCATTCCATTCCCTATCCCTATTCTTTGTCAGTAGATTTTTATGCAGGGTGAGACTTAGATGGGTCTGATCATTCGGACTCCACCCATCTTCTAATGGGCGGTGAAGGATATGATGTCTGGGATGGTATTAGGTCTCCTGCCTTGAGCAGGGTGGATGAATTGGAAGACCTCTGCGGTCCCTTCCAGTCCTTAAGATTTTGTGTTTTGTGTCTACTTTGATGCTGAAGCAGAAATGAGCAGCCTTTGCTCAGTTCCATCCTGACTCTGTCCCGAATTAAAGGGACTACAAGGGTAGTAAAAAGAGAGTTATTTTTTTTCTAAAGGAAGGAAGACCATTTGCACATTCCTGGGATTAAATATCTATGGAGATTCTCAGTCCCCAGTTGTGCTTGTCCCAAAGGTGTTTTTTTTCCCCTCAAAAGGCAACTGGGCTTTATTTTTCCTTGAAGATGTTTTGCTTCTCATCCAAGAAGCTTCTTCAGTTCTGACTGAGTTGGTGTGTATGTGTGTGTGTTTGATTAAACCGTGTCACTCTGGACTTGTTTTTCTACCTTGGATGCGGCTGCCCGCAGGGGAACTGGAAGCAAACAAAGCTATCTGCCTTGCGGTATCTGGCAAAGGATGCAATTTCTGTACAGGTATACAGATTACCTCATTCGTGGCAGTTGCTTGATACTCTCCTTGGAAGTGGAAGTGTGATAATTGGCACTGCCTCTGCAAATGCCTCAAAATCCCTCAACTTTCACTCCTGTACCAAAAGTGCTTTTTCAAAAGGCAACTGGACTTTGCTTTTCTTTAAAGATGTTTTGCTTCTCATCCCAGAAGCTTTTTCAGTTCCGAATTGAACTTCAGAAATGAAGAAGTTTGTTGGATGAGAAGTGAAACATCTTCAAGGAAAAACAGTCCAGTTGCCTTTGAAAAAGCACCTTTGGGACAACCATGACCTGGATGACTGAGAATCTCCATAGACACTTTACTTCTGTAGAATCTATTTTTTTCCGTCTTTATTTAATTTTTTAAAATGTTTTAAAAATTCAGTGGAAAAGCATCTTAAGGTACTTGGCAAGGCACTCTAAAGACAATATAATTATAACTAAGCATGAAAAACGTACAAGTGGATTTATATTTATAATGTAATGAACTGAATGTTGCTGTAACACAGTTTTATGTTTTACATTGAAGTAAAGTAAAACTTTTCTGACAGTTTAAAGACATTTCATTAATTTTATTTGGAATATGAATATGAATTCTGTTAATTCTATTACATTAAATAGATGTACATGCATATTTTTATGGATTACCACTTTGCAATAATTTTGTTATGTCTCTCAATAAAATGACTAAAGTTTTATTTTTTAAAAAAGTAAAAAGACTTAGTACCCCTTATCTCTGGAATGTAACTAGAGATTTAAAAACTGTGTATTGTAGGATGAGGACTGTGTTAGTCTATGGTGGCAAAAAGTTTTGTCTCATGGTTTTCTCTGTGTAGAGAATTGAATGAAATAGGAATAAAATCTTATATCCTACAGTGAACTTCTCCTGTGAATCTGCTGTGTGGTTTACTGGTGGAATAATCTGATCCCCAATAATCACTTGAAGGCAGTTTAAAAAGAGTATTGTTAGACTTTCAACTGACAAGTTGGCTACAGATAAGATTCAAGATATATGGGTGACTTAATTATTATAAATTATTTGGTTCTTCTTATTAAAATACAAATCCTTTATATATGTACCTTGGAGTAAACTCTCAACTGAATAAAATCTACTTGGTTTTCAAATATAAAAAGTTCTTCAAATGAAATATGATCGTAAACCAGTATATTAAAAGTTATTAAATATGTCGGTACGCTAGCTACTAATAATAATGAAATCCTTGTTAAAATGACAACACTATTATCATCACTCACAGTGTAAAATAAGTTAAAGTGGTCACACAATAAACTTTATATCTGATGTACTGTGTCTTATTTCTGATGCAAACTTTCCACATGAGAAGAAGAGATGAGAAATCTTTGGGTGGGGTGAATGGAGAAGTATATGTAATTACATTTAATAACAGATAATATATTCTGTTACAGTTTTCAAGGTCTCAAAAAGCTCAGGATCAACATAATTTTACATTGGCTTATAATAATGGAAAGTACAATTATCACCTGCTTCATGCAAAGCAATTTGTTGGGTGAAAATAATAAAACTTGTGTGTATAGGGGAAATAACCACTAGAGGGAGGCATTGTTCTTCCTAATAGACGTCTCCACTATCCACCGTGGTCTTTTTAGCTTTTCTATTTAATTTTTCTAACTTTAATTGTTTTGTGGTACATTTAAAACTCTTATTATTACATTGTAAGTCATAGAAATTTCATAAATTAATTAAAGAAATAACAATATTTTATAAATACTCATTAAAAAAATGCTGGAGAAGAATATAATTTTGGATAGGATGAAAGAAAAGAAGACATCAACCAATGGTAAGATGGATGGATTCAATTACAACAGACATGTGTCCCCTTGGCAGACTGAAAGACCAGGTGGGGACAGATTGTCCGGGAGAAAATCTATGTGATCGAAAGAGTTGGCAGTAACTTGATATCCAATTGATGAATCAACTTCAGAGTTTCTTATAATTTTAGGGTATCTGACCATGTTATAGCCAAATGTCTAAAAATAAGTAGCTTTAGGTTTATATTTGAATAGTGCATACATTGTTTTTAATACAGAAACAACTTTCCCCATAACCTTTGCATGGTTTGCATTATATACTCAGATCTTATGAAGAGTTGTTTTAATTCTTGGGTTTTGGTATGTTATAATCATCTTTGGGAATATTTCCCTTCTACTATGAATAAAGAATATGTACTCAATGGTAGCTTTATGGTTTTGGAAATAAGGAGCCAGAGAAAGGTAAAGTGAAACTCTAGTCATCTGTATGTATGAATAAAGGGGCCTATAAATCCTAGTAATAAAATAAAATAGCTAATGTCAGGTGCCAGGGGAATCAGGATGTTTAGGCAGTTCAAATGAGCGTAAGATTATTGCAAGCTTAAGCTCTCTACAAAAAAGTGGGAATTAAGGCATTCAGGATGGGCTGGGTTTAGATCTCTTGTGGGTATGCAGGGATTTGTGACTCATGACATGTTTGACCCCTCCCTCAGGCTCACCCTGATCATCTACAACTAACATTTTAATTCACAAGCCATAATTTAATAGTTCTTGTTAGAACTTGATGTAATAAAATTTTGTCCAGTTATCCTCCAAATCATGATTGTTGCTATGATTATTGATCCCCTAAAACAAGATTATTTGTTTTTAATAATTGCCAACAAAAACTATAGTGGAAAGGGAGGAAGAAATGTTGCTCCTGTGCTATTCACTCATGAGCCCAAATGTACTAGTATTTGAACAAACCAAGATGACATCACATGTGTTGTGAGGTCATCCCTCAGAGGAGACAAATTAGACGAGTTTACTACTGTTTAGTGATGTTATGTACCGTACCTCAGCAGATGCCCACAATCATTAGTCCTCAGGAAGGTGTCCTACAAATCCTCAGTTGTGCTCCTACAAATTGTACACAACAGATAGCCTCATGTGTTTCTCTGCAGGAATTAATTCCACAATAAGCAACATATTCTCTTCTAAGTTGGGGGAGTTCAATTTTGTTCAATTCCAAGTAACATGACTTAATAAAGCAAAGTAAAGTGGGGAATGCAATCCGCACTAAAATAATTAAAATAATTAAAATGTATTTAAGTCTTTCTTGTGAAGTGAACACAAGCAGCATGACCTTTGGATTCATAAGTGATAGTCTTGTAAATCTGAACATTTTATTTTCTAAGGAACATAGTTATCTTTGAGGTCATCGTAGTTTAGCAGCGTCTCATGCATAGATTGCTTGCAGAATCACATTGTAACTGAAACAACATAATGCAAAACACTAGGATGCCACAGTCCTCATTTACCAACCACAATTGAGATGATAACTCCATCACTAAAGCTATAATGTCTAAGTAAAAAACAAAACAAAACAAAACAAAACAAATGACCATGTAGGACTTACGAAGTCATTTCCAATTCTGTCTTTAAGCAACTCATTGCAGATTGTTAAGTGAGACATCTGACGAGCAATTTTATTGCTAACTTCTCGGAAGCCTGTTGTGAAGAGCACAAATGATGACCATGTGAACCATAAGTTAAGAGTGTTTTTAAAAATGAAGCACTAAGTTGTAAAACACTTTAAAAATAATGACAGTATCTTTATGGGGGGGCGGGGGAGTCAATTTATCAATTTTTTAAATTCAAAAACCAAAGGAAATATATGTACATTCAATATTTCCCAATCATCTTCTAGAGACAATATGTGGCATGATTTGTTCCCAGCAAATGTCAGCGTTTGTAATACTGTATTTATTTTATTTTATTTGTTTATTTTGATTTATCAATCGCTTACAGGATAATAGGTATAAGTATATACATAGTTATGAACACATGAAATGGGTACCTATAAGAAAAATAAAAGAAACAATAGGACATGGACAGTAGGCACGTTGGTGCGCTTATGCACACACCCCTCAGACCTCGTAGGAAAGGGGTGAGGTCAATAGTAGACAGTCTGAGGTTAAAGTTTTTGGGGTTTGGGGAAGAAACCACAGAGTCAGGTAGAATATTCCAGGCATTGACTACTCTGTTGCTGAAGTCATATTTGCTGTAATCAAGTTTGGTGTGGTTAACCTTGAGTTTGTATCTATTGTGTGCTCTTGTGTTGTTATGGTTCAAACTGAAGACTAGGGTTCTTTTTGGCATTTTTTTTTTGCTTGAAAAGGCAATAGGTTTGGAACACAAGTTATGGGTTTGTTTGTTTTTAAAGGCTTTCAAGATCTCCAAAATCTTGTCAGATTACTGTTGATCTCAGAGGAGAGTAACATCTTGTTAGATTGTTCTTG